GCATAATTTGATACCACAATATAAAAATAATTTGCTTATCTTTAAATTTGCAATTGTTTAAGCATCATATAAAACTTTATTCTATATTTTTGTATCTTATATCATGTTCTTATAAAAACTCACAATTTGTACACCTTAGACTTTATCAAGTTAAAAATTTGTTAGGTACTTTTTACCTTGAGAACTCGACACATATAGTGGAGATGCATAAAAACCCTAGTGAGTTTTAATCAATCTTCCTTGAAGGGTTATTTATATTTACTCAATAAAGAATATTTTTATTCAGCTAATTTTCTTCAATAGTTTCATTATTTTTGTTTTGGTCAACACCAATATTTTGAATGATTGCTTGACTTTAAATTATTTGTATGAAAATGTGTTATCAAAAACTCTTGAGATATAATTTTAGGCCATCTTTGATATTATTTGAGCCTAAGCTTTATTCTTTGAATATTATTATCCCTAGAAGCCATGATTGAACCTTTGAAGCAAAATTTTATTTTTTATACCCAATATATAATAATCAAGCCAATGAAAAAAAAATATTTTTTATCTTTGGTTATCCCGAGATTGAGCTTTTTATTATTTATGTAATTTGAGAGATGTTGATTAGGAAAGGATATTCAAAGATAGAGAAAAATTTTTTGCATACTTGTGCATATCTGCATTAAATGTCTTGCTAAAAATAAAAAAAGTATATATATTCAGTTGAGGAAAAAAAAAAGAGATAGAAAAGAATAGCAAGCTTGTGTTTGAAAAAGAAAAAATATGAGCAAATGTTGTAAATTGTGCTTCTAAAGGGTGGAGAGTGAAAGGTTCTGAAAAGAAGTTTGGTTGTGTGATGTACATGTTATTTCGGGATAATTTTTTGAATTCCTGAATATCCTTCGTTTCAAAATCCTAATCTCAAGGCCCCATTACAACCTTAAATAAAGACAAATTTGATCTCAAGGGTGTATTGGTAGATGCATGACTTATGTGACTAAGGAAAAGAATGGTGATTATTTGTTTATTGTGTTTTGATTTTCTTTCATGAGAATATGTCAAATCCTTTTTTTTTGGAGTACATTTTTTTTAATGGAACATGTGAGCATTATTTTGTTTTGATTTAAATATCTTCTTCTCAAAAGTGATATTTGAGGGAATAGTCACTATAATCTGAGATAATCTTTTATGAGTGAATTATCTAGTGAGATTTGACATTGAGACGAATAGTTGATAGTTGTAAAAGTGATTACCGAATAAATTGTTAACTTGGTGTAGTCAATTCACACTATATAAGAGTTTATATGGAAACATGATAAGTACATACATTTATATAGCGTAGAATTCTATATTTTGCTTTGCATGTGCTTATAAAAAGGCTTGTATCTTAGAATTTTTATATTGTCCCACTTTCCATCTGATGGACTTATATTATCTCAATCACATATTTTTGAGAAAATACTTGAGAAGTTCGACAAAATTGAATATAACATTGCTAGAACACCAGTTGATATAAATTTTCATTTGTCTAAAAAATACTTGTAAAAATATATCACAATTGAAATACTCTCGTATCAATGACAGTCTAATATATGTCATGAATTGCACTAGCTCAGATATAACATACTCAGTTAGTAAATTGAGTAAATATATGAGTAATCTGGGAGTAAACCATTGGAAGGCAATTATTAGGGTTCTTAGATACTTAAGATATACCCTAAATTTTGGATTGCATTATACAAGATATTCAACTATACTTGAAGGATATAGTAATGCAAACTGGATATCTGATATGAAGAATACAAAATTCGCAAATGGTTATGTTTTTACACTTGGTGGTGCAGTTGTAACTTGGAAATCCTCTAAGCAAATGTGTATTGTCAGATCCACAATAGAATCTGAATTTATTACTTTAGATAAAGCAGGAAAGGAAGCCGAGTGGCTTCGCCAATTTCTAGAGGATATTTCAATATAGACTAAACCTGTGCCAACAATTTGTATACATTGCGATAGTCAATTTGCGATTGTTAGGGCACAGAGTGACATGTATAATGACGTAGACATAAACGTCGTAAACATAATGTCATTAGACAATTGCTCTCAAATGAGATTATTTCTGTTGATTATATTAAATCAAAAGATAATCTAGCGGATCCGCTTACAAAAGGTTTGACGAGAGAACAAGTAAATTGCACATTGAGGAGAATGAGACTAAATCCTATGACACAAGAATCACCTTAATGGCAACCCAACCTAGTTGACAGGAGATCTCAAGATTTAAGTTCAAAGGGACAACTGAATTATGCGTGATTCAAAAGAAGCATTAAGGAGATATTCTCTCCTACCTATTCCTATGATAAACTAGTGATGCTTGTAGATTTTATTATGGTAAGATATGCTTTTAATGACTCTTATACCTTGAAAAATTCAAGTGGGATATTGTAGGATATACCTAATAGGAGTCACCTATATGAGTGGGGAAGAGGATGCTTTTGTAAGAATTTATAAAGGCTGAATTATTTAAAGTACTCATAAAAAACCAGGAGTTGTTCGGGGCCAAAATGAACATAATAATGAGAACCAATTATGTTAGGAAATAGACTATGTGAAGTCTATTCGATCTGATTTATCAAACAACTGAATAGTTAAAGACATCACGTTCACTATTTAGTCAGTAAGCCCGATGGGCTTTCACTAAAGAAGGTTCAAGGCCAAAAATTACCTATCTCGATGTACGATTTTTCCAAAGATGTACTTTTTATAGTGTGTTAGCATTATCATTTGTATACTAACAACCAATTTTTCATTCATGTGGGGGATTGTTAGATCAAAACAGTTTTTTAAGTGCAAAAATTGATTTTTTTGTCGATTTTGAGCTTAAATTAAAGTGAGATTCGTTCTTTATTTTAAGTAAACTTTTGTGGATTCATATTTTACTCCATGAGGAGAATAACATAGTATATTCACTTGCTCAAATCGAGAAAGAAATGAATGAGAAAATAGGCTCAAAAGTGACCCTCTTGAAATGTGAAAATAGAAATGGTGCAATATGAGATTTGACACCAATCCCATATTGGTTGAGGAAGAAATTTTATATGGGCATATATAGGCCAAACTTTCTTTATGGGATTGAGCCCCAATGGGTACCACAATTTTATAAGCAGAGCGAGCGCCTACATGCCTTCGATTCTACCACACGCGCGACACCAGCCTGCCCGCTCCATCACACCTTGACCCAACCCGGTCGGGCTGGGCTCGGGTACGAGTGTGAGTGTGGGTATATCAAGCCCTATCTTTTTGGAGAAAATTCATTTAATTAATTGGGCGTAATTCGCACTGGTTCAGTTCCACAAGTGGTATCTTCTAGCTTGCCTTTGTCTTCTAGGTTTGGTGATTGTCTGGTACAGTTGTAGTCATTTAAGGTAGTCTCATACATCATTAAGCATTTTGGAGAGTACACAACACAATTTTTGATTCATTGGACGGGTAGATTGGAGTGCTACTTCTACTCATGTGAAGATTATTGTATCTTGGGAGGCAGATGCTTGATATTTCATAAACACTGTGTGTGTGGGCGAAATCTGTTTTACGGACATAGTGTCAAACACTAGCCTTGATCTACCTAAAGTTCAATAATAGTTCTAGTTTTACAACCGGATTAATATTTATATTGTTTAAACAACTGTTTCATAAAATTATTGTAACTGTTTTGTTAGTTATTTTGTAACTGTTTCGTTAGTTCTTCTGTAACTGTTTCGTTAGTTCTTCTGTAACTGTTTCATTAGTTATTCTGTAAACTGTTTTGCACTTGATTGTTACTGTTTTGTTATACATTATATGTTTTATATCAGAAATTTTAATAAGTGATTTTACTATATTTGGAATATTACAGACAATAGTTACAATATTTTATTGACTTTAGTATTTATTCTTTGTCAAATGAATGAATGGTTTATTGTTTAATGGTTATTGTTAGTTGCTCTCATGATTAAATGGTTTGTAAATAGTAATATCTTACAGGATGTATTTTTGGGCATTACAAATACATCAGGTACTACAAAATACTAAAACATTTTTTTTTTCATACGAGTAGCAGTGATTTGAAAACCCTAGACTCTATTATGTTCAATTAGCTAAACATTACACATTATTAGAGTTTTGAAAAGGAGAGAAAGAGAGAGAAAAAGAGACTTACGGAGAATGAGAAACAGTGAGTTGAAAATTGAGACTCACCATTGGATCCAACTATATTTTGCGAGGAGTGTAGAGATGAAGGTGGAGATGGAAACAAAGTCATGGAATAGAGAGACGGTTGAAAGATGATAGAGACAAAAATAAAATCTTTGAATTTTAGATCTGAGTTTGAAATAGAGAAAATATGAAAATTAGTTATGCAAATCTATTTTATTGTGAAAAATGCCAAAATTTGTAAAAATTGCTCTCAAAATAAATTTGGTTTTTCGTCATCTCTCCAAATAAATTAGGAAACACCTTATAACATTAAAACTAACTAGTAAGAGTATTTTAGTGATAAAGCAAAAAAGAAAAACTCAGAATGAATTAACTATCAAATAAAAATACTAATTTAGAATTTAATAACAAATATATTTTTTTTTTTTTGTTGATAAGAATAGGAGAAAATGACCGAAACCCAATATGCTCTAAAGCCCTAAATATTAAAACCCCACAGCCCCTTGCCGAAACTCACTCTTGTAAACCCTTTCGTTTCCCTACTCTCTCTGCTTCCATTAGGTACACTGATCTGCTTGTTTTTGTGCTCTATCTTATTTTTTTCCCGGAAAGTTCTTCTCCTATCTTTAGATACAGATAGACATGTATTATATATGGGTATCTAATTATATGGAAAAATATATAGGTCTCTATCTTATTTTTTTTCCCCGGAAGGTTCTTTTCCTATCTTTCGATACAGATAGACATATATTTTATATTGGTATCTACTTATATGGATAAATTTGTATTTAATGATTTGGCTGCCTTTTCTCAAATCAGGGAAAATGAATTTCAACAACGTAAGGGTTCCCAAGGTGCCGGGTGGTGGTGCAGCTTCTGCTTTAATTAAGTTGGGAGCCCTTGCCGGGTTTGGCATATATGGAGCTGCTAACAGTCTCTACAATGTTGAAGGAGGACATCGAGCTATTGTCTTCAATCGTCTTGTTGGTATCAAAGATAAGGTTCTTACCTTATTCTTCGCAACTTACACTATACAATATTTCTTCTAGTTTATTCCTTTATTTATGTATTTTACCCCTTTTGTGTTATTTGAAGTTGAAGAAATGAGCTGACTTGTATGATATTTTTTCAAGAATCTCCTTCAATTGTGTGCTTTTGAAATTTCGTGGACTGGGCAAATATTAGAATCAAGGGGAATCTTATTTTTTTACCCATTATTAACTGCTGATTTAAAGGTCTGCAACTCATTCTTTTAGGTTAATTTTGGATTGATAGATTTGATTTGTCCGGATTGAGAGGTAGATTCATAGACATGTAAAAGTACGGGTAATTGGAGTAAGTGAGGGATAGAGAGTTGGGAAGAGATGTGCGTAGAGATCTTCCCTCACTATTATACAGATACTAGACACAATCTAGAAGGGGTGAATAGGTTATTTCAAATTTTGGCATGAATAATCACCAATTTTAACCCAATCTATCACAATAACCATATTCAAGATTGATTTGTCAATTGAGTGCTTGAACCCCTTTTAATAACCCAAAAATTCTGCCATGTGGTTAGATGTAAAGATATGTCAATTGATTGATTTACACTCTAATTCACTATGACCACGATCCCACCAAAGCCTTTGATTACAAAAACCTTATCAATGGATTGAAAAATGAACAATCACTCATTCATATGCATAGTGTGCGGAATTGCAAGTGTATAAGCAAAATTAAAGTAATAAAGAACAAAAGCAATTTGTTGACATGAAAGCCCAATCGGGGAAAATTGCGGGAACCAATTGGGGTTTACTAAGCCTAATCCACTAACTCAAAGTTGATTTATACGTACTTGAGACTTATTTCTCAATCAATACCATGGTTAGACGTTCATTTCCTTCAGTAAATCACTTATTCGAATTTTCCCACTAGAGTCATGGGCAGCTTTACTTGAAACCCTTTGTCGCAATGGATCATTTATGCTCTTCGAGCGACATTCTCCGCTAAGATCCTCAGGATGCACACTCCTTCAATGGGTTTTGTAACTCCACGCCAAAACTTCTTCTTCAAGGTGTGAATTTGAATTGAAGATTTAAGATGGATGACCTCTGGTCTTAGGGATCTAGGGTTTATAGATGATCTCGTAAGTTTTAGAAGGCAAGAAATATGCTCACAAAAGAGACCAAGCAAACTTGAATTCTCGAACGACCGATTGACTAGTGGGAGAGCAGTGAGAGGGCGGTTGTCACTCGAATGAAAAAAAGGATCCAAACAAGATCTGACAAGCAGAGACTAATTGAGCGTCTATAGATTGCTTGAGTGGCTAGAGAGCGGTTTCCATTAGCCAACTCGACAACGTTCTCTGATTTTATCCCCAAGTGTTTAGAGACCGTTCTAGCCGAATGCAAGCGAACACAAGGCAGTTCCTATTGGTTTTAAAGCCGAAAATTAAGTAAAAATTTGTTCTCTTATACACTGAAGGGGTTACTCAAGTAGGGTCTGATAAATGACTCGATATATATTTTCAAAATACATTTAAGATTTATAAACTTTTTCAATGAAAAATCGTAAGAGTCATTTATGGATTTTTCCAATTCAATTTTAATGACACTAATCATCCTAAGTATAAAATTAAACTAAGGGATCTAATTCTCTAGGACATTACTTATGACCTAAGCTTGAAGGTGTATCGAAAAACACTTGATAAGGCTTTGTAGTTTGAACTCCTCCATTCTTGACGCTTGTGGATCTTGATCTTTGAAGCTTCATGACTATAGAATTAAGTTGAGATTTACACAATACTTCACAAAATTAGTTAATTACAAACATATTCCTAACATAAGGGATATATTAGAGGTAGAAGATTATAGCGTGATAAAATTAATCGCATTTTGCATCTGCCATTTGGTCGGCTATTCAATCATTCGTTTTCCACAATTTTGATTTCTGTAAATAGAGCTAATTCTCCGTGCTTGCTATCCTTGTGCAACAAGAAACCATCATGGACTGATTTTGAATAACTTGCTTCTTGGGCAATACTAGGAAGATTATAGTTGATGCTTGTGAGAGCTTGAGAAAGTAGTGTGTAGTCTTGTGGCAACATTAGGAAGATCGGTCGATTTGCTTGAGATGCCCCTTTTGGTATGATTATATGGCATACCACAGTTCTTTGAGCAACATTGAGTTTTTGACATCATAGCAGAGTGTATTCTTGTGACATCTTTGAGGTTCAAATCAAACAAAAGTTCTTGAAGTTTTGGGTGATATTCAAGGCTAGTAGACAACTCATTCATTTCTCTGAAAGGAATTGTTGACAAGTTTTCTCTCTCGTACTGGATTGTGCATGTGCTCTTTGGATTAAGAGTGTAATATAAGGGAGGCTTGGATAGGTAAGAGGGAGAACTTTTTTTCAGAAGATTTAGGAGTGAATATTGTTTTGTTTGGGTTGATCTCATTCGTAATGGAAGGGTTGATTTCATGAATATTTGAAAGTTTCTGAAAATGGAGAAAGGATAAGTTTCATCATCCCTAAAGGCGTCGAGAGTAAATAGTGGATTTCTTTTACTTCAATTATAATAGATTTAGTTAGAGAAAAAAGAAGGGGTAGAAATTGGGATGATTAAAACGAGGGCAAGATTGGTGTTAGCAGCTTCGAGTCTTCCTATAATGAGATTTTAAAAGAAGAATAATTTGTTGTTGGGGGATAGTATTGTGAAGTGGTTTTCATTATAGGGAGAAATTTTGATTCTTGGATTGGGATTAGACGTTTCCTATCTAGATTGTTGAAGCTTGACACCAATCTATTCCCTTTTATTCAAGTTGATAAAAATTTTGTGAAAGTCTAGGAAAAGTCGAAGAGATTTGTAGTGGGAGAAGTATTTTTCGAAGGATCTATTTTTGTTAAGTTTGGGAAATTGGTGCCTAGGGCTAATTGTGCTAGAAATAGAGTTTCTTTTCTTTTGGGGTCCGTTTGCTAGCGTGATAATGGTAGAAAATGCAAGAAATTTTCTCTGTTTTTGGTAACTCAGTGTGTTTGGTTAGCAACTTAACATGAAATGGAAAGTAATGGAAAAATAATTTTCTTTCATCTTTAGATTTTTCCACAACTAACTATTTTCTTTTTCTTGCAAAAGACATAAGAAAAAGTAAGAAAGTTGCATTGTATAATCCGACTTACCATGTTGCCCATATTTTGCCTAAAATATTAAATTAGTTATTCATTTTGAAAAGGCTTGGTATGGTTTAGGCCAGGTATAGAATCTGGCCTGGAGATTTGGGGTGGGGCCTGTCCTTATCCTAGAACTAGTCCATGAGCCAATTTTTTTAAATTTTTTAGTTTTTAGTTATAGTGCATGTTTTTTTTCTTATTTAGTCATGTTTAATATAGTTAAGAATAATTTGGACAATTAAGAAGATTTTCTTGTAACATTTTTTTTTCTTGCCATGCAATTTTTTTAAAAGTTTCTTACGAGTTTTTCATGCTAACCAATTACATGCATAAAATTATATTTTATTTCACTTCACTTTCTTTTTCTCTCATTTTTCATCATTCTTTTCTTTCTAACCAAAACGAATCTCTCAGGTGGATTGGAGTAGAAGATTTGCCATGTCATATATGGAAATGTGAAGTGTTACCAAGTATAGGGACTATTGCAGTGGTTGTGTTGCAGTTGATACCCGTACACTACATTTGGAGAATTTTTTTATGGCAAAAATTAAGGTTCATACTTCATCGCACTGTCTCTTTAAGTGGAGTTCCAAGGGAAGTGTATCCGATCAAAGTTAGGTTGCTTTTCCACTGAGAGGGTTTTGGGGGCAACGTTCAGATGATGAATTTCATTGCAGAGTGCACCGGTCAAGAGGTTGAAGACGATAGAACATGGGAGAAGGCCTCGTGTGAGGAGTAATGGGTTCTATAGAATTTTCGAGAGGCGATTTGGGCAATAAGAAATGTTGGTTGAAAGTTTTGCGGCTTCTAGGATGGATTTAAAGGGAAATGGTTTAGTAATTAATGACACCACTTCCCGAGATAATTCATCTGTTTAGGAGAAACTTTAAAATCAAAAGTAGAATAATGGTTTTTAAAAGTTTAAATGCACTTGGTTGTTTGGGTGATAAACATAAGGTAGGTTGGGGTCTAATTTTGGAAAGGCTTGGTATAAGGTCCCAAAAGTGATCCAGTCCTGCTATAAAACTTTAGATCGGTGCCTAGGGTTCTAGAAGAGTTTTGGATGATAGTGGGCCTTTCTATGTGGGCATTTAAACAAAAAAAAAAAGGATTATTTTAAATTATTTTGAAGAAAGGTTTGGCCCAAAAACTTGATCTATTAGTGCATGATTTGGTGGAATCTGCTTCAGCCTTGAATGAAACAGGAAGGGTAACTATCGGTGACTAGTCTCTTTCCCCCTTCTTATCTGCCTTTGCTATTAGATAATCTTGAAAAACAAGATTCTGAATATGTAGATTTGAGGCTTAATAATTTACAATAGGGTTGTCATTCAAGACTCGGAAGTTCAGGTTGGTAAAGAATTAGTTATTTTTGATAACAAATTAGCTACTAAGATCAGGGGGGGGTGGATAATTTGGGTATTGCTGGTGTTTAGTTGTTTCTTTAAGATCGTTAAAGGTTTAAAATGAGGAATGAAGAGGGGCTTTTGAGTATTGATAATAAGTCTTCTAAGGCTATTGGAGATTGATCTTTTGATGACACAAGGTGGCTTAGATTGCATGATTTCGTGGATACGATGGACTTGGCATTAATGCCAAATAGGAAAAGGGTAGGAAAGTTACAAAAGAGAGTGGGGTTAGAACGAAAAATGGTTACAGATAGTTAAAAAATTTGAAATAAGGGATAAATATTGGGGATGTAGTTGTAGGAGAGATGAAGGGAATGATTTAGTTGTTTAGCGAAGATCTTGAGTTCGAATGTGCATAGTCTGGTACGAGAAAAATAAGTTCTTTTTGGGAGGTAATGGTTAAAGCGGATTCATATTGTTGTTTTGCAAGAAACTAAGG